TTTGAGTGCTACTTCGGGAGCGTCTGGTTCTAGGCAGACGCAGGGTTTTCAGCCAGCTCAGTCTGTGCAGGCCTCGAGGGCCAATCCGGTGTGGATATTGTTGTTATACATATCTGTTGAGAATGTGGTTAGTGCTTATATGCCTATCCGTTGAAAAAGGGAAAATGAAAAGTAACTTGGACTCATAAGTTGTATGACATAAATATGTGATTTATGTGAATGTATCAGTGTTGGCCATCTATCAATTGCTAATCTTTTAGTCATTGTTCATGGTTGGTTTAGTATATTTCTGCTGGGCTGTGGCTCACCCTATATGGGAATATCATTTTCAGGTACAGGTAGCATGCCACCTCCAAGGACATAGCTTGGGAGGCTAGAGGCGGACATACTTTTGTCGTTTTGTTTTTGATGTATTACATGTAAATTCAAGCCAAGGGCTTAATGTGTAAATGAGTTAGTACTCTTTTTGTTGTAACCAAGTGTTAACTTAGAAAGCTGTAAGCCCGTAGGGCATTTTGCTTTTGTTGTTAACATGTAATACTTATGTAATGAAACTCTGATGAATAAAAGAATGTGGTTATTTCATATGTCAACGAATGTCTTATTTGATGGGTTTAATGTTATTATTTTGAGAGCGTTACAGCTGCTAACTGGTTGTTCGGAATTTCAATTTGCCGGGGTAGTCCACACTTGTCGCATTTATTTTTTGCCGATGATAGTCTTCTATTTGCGGCTGCTAAGGAAGATGAGGCAGGTGTTTTGCGAGATATTCTCCAAAAGTATGAGCAAACATCGGGGCAAAAAATTAATTTCCAAAAATCGGCTGTTTGTTTTAGTAAAAATACGGACTTGGTTACTCAGCGAGTGGTGACATCTATTCTTGGGGTGGGCTCATTGGCGCCGTACGGGAAGTATTTGGGATTACCATATTGTGTGGGGCATTCTAAGCGCGCCATTTTGGGGTTTGTTAAGGAGCGTGTATGGACTCGAGTAAATGGTTGGAAGGAAAATTTTTTATCGGTGGCGGGTAGAGAGGTAATCATTAAGTCTGTTGCTCAAGCCATACCCACTTATATTATGTCCTATTTTCGCCTCCCTGATGGAATGTGCCATGAAATTGAGTCTATGGTGTGCAATTTTTGGTGGGGACAAAAAGAGGAAACCCGTAAAATTCATTGGACTAGCTGGAAACAATTGTGTAAGTCTAAATTACAGGGTGGTATGGGATTTCGGTGCCTTCAACATTTCAATTCATCTTTGTTAGCCAAACAGTGTTGGCGATTAGTGCAGCGGCCTCAATCTTTGGTTGCGCGGGTCTTTAAGGCTAGGTACTTTCCTCAAACTTCATTTCTTGATGCTTTGGTCGGGAGCAATCGATCTTTCACCTGGAGGAGTATAGTCGGATCTCGAAGTCTATTAAATGCTGGGCTTCGATGGCGTGTTGGGAATGGTGCAAACATCTCGGTTAAGTATGATAAATGGGTTCCACGGCCTCACTCTTTTAAGGTAATTTTGCCACCTTCGACTCTTTCGGATGATGCGCGGGTTAGTGATTTGATTGATTCTGAGACAGGTACATGGTATGATGAGATGCTTACGCAAAATTTTTTGGGCATGGATATGGAGGCTATCCGATGCATTCCTCTTTGTCCCACGTTACCTTCGGATAAATTGGTCTGGAATTTTTCCCGAAATGGTGAGTTTTCGGTACGATCGGCATATCATTTGTGTATGGATATGACCTCTTTGGATGGCCAAGGTGCTACCTCCACTAATGGGCAGTCGCATAAGCAGTTCTGGCGAGGTTTCTGGCAGCTTCATTTACCAACCAAACTCAAGATTTTTGGTTGGAAAATGTGTCTTGGGTTGTTAGCTGTAAGGGCCAATTTGCGGCAACGTCATATCGTCAATATGGGTTTATGTCCTGGGTGTGGAGTGGAGGCTGAAATGGTAGGCCATTGTTTTCACAACTGCGGTTTTGCCATGAAAGTGTGGATGTCGAGCTCACTTAATTTGGTTATCAAATCTACTCCTGTTAACAATTGTTTTAAGTGGGTCTATCAACTCACGGCCACAATTGGTCCAGAACCGATGCAATTATTTGCTGCTATTTGTTGGTGCCTTTGGAATAATAGAAACTCCATCCTGTTTGACAATAAATCAAGGACTATGGAGGAAGTTGTTTCTTTCGCGGTGAATTATGTATCCGAATATGATCAAGCACAAGAGCGCGGCCATCTTCCTGCGGCCCAGGTGCGGATGCGAAGGTGGGTTGTGCCACGCGAGGGTGTCTTCAAACTGAATTTTGATGGCTCTGTTAGGAAGGCCCATGCCAGTGCTGGTGTTGGCATTATTATTCGGGACTGTCATGGGGAAGTCATTGCGTCTATGGTTGAGCGGATCCCGTATATGGAGGATGTTGATTGTGTAGAAGCTATGCATGCGATAAAAGCTCTTCAATTGGGATGTGATTTGGGGTTGGGGCATATTCATCTTGAAGGTGATTCTAAAAATGTGGTGGCTGCAATTCAAGGTAAGGCGGATAATTTATCTTGCTATAATACACAAATTATGACTTGGTTGTAACTCAAAGTGTATTATTTTGGTTATCAATCGAAAATGTCTTTACTAATTTCTTATATTTTTTATTATGTCTAAAGTGATGCATCGGATCTTTAATTATACTGCAAGATGATATTTGATTATGATATATTATAATACTTTAAGTATTTTATTATACGAAAATGTGTTTAAACTTTAAAATGAGTTGACTCAAAGGTAAAATCAGTAAGATCGCAAGAGTTATTTACATTGATATATAAAAAAATATAAATTCAAATCATAAATAGTGTCTTCAAAGATAATCAATTACAAAATCTCTATAACCTTAATAATTTCAATTTTCAAAGGGGTTCTGATTAATTATGTGACGCATTATAATAACTGCAAACTTTTTATTCCAGCCAAATTATTTTGTATATCTCTTCCGACAGAGCTCATGAAGGTGCATTATCATTAATACTATAAATTTAAAATTTTTATTTAAAAATTATTCAAGAAACATCAATAGGTGCCTTAATTATATATAATCATTTTCGATGAATTATTATTCTCTAATATAATACTTCATACTATTTATCATTTGACATTTGCTAATTTATCTTCTAAAAGCTTAACAAAAAAAAGTATTGAGTTCCATTATTTTAATCAATCAATATCAAATTGGACACTATACGTGTACGTAAATCACTTATAGAAATATGATGTTTAACATAAAATCATTATGGAGTTAACTTTAATGAATGTAATAATATTTTATATTATGCCATGTGTTACAAAATTCGGGATTCACTTTTCAGAAACATAAATACACTTAAAAAGTATAATATTTGTGAAAAAAATATTTAAAAAATTCAAAAAATATAAAAATTCAGTAAATTTTTCGTATTCTAATGTGTTTATTGATTTTTTAAAATATTTTTTTTACAAATATTTTACTTTTTCGATACATCTAGGTACATCTAAAAAAATAAAAAAATTGCTTAAAATTTTAAAAATATTCACCAAAAACAAAAAAATACGAAAAATAAAGTAATGGGACCTTTCAGTCTATAAGAAAACTTTTAGGACTAAACAGTGCATAAGTTATTAATTTGGGATTTATTGGTGCATCCCCCAAACATAAATACACTTAAAAAGTATAATATCTGTGAAAAAAATATTTAAAAAATTCAAAAAATATAAAAATTCAGTAAATTTTTCGTGAAAAAAATATTTAAAAAATTCAAAAAATATAAAAATTCAGTAAATTTTTCGTATTCTAATGTGTTTATTGATTTTTTAAAATATTTTTTTTACAAATATTTTACTTTTTCGATACATCTAGGTACATCTAAAAAAATAAAAAAATTGCTTAAAATTTTAAAAATATTCACCAAAAACAAAAAAATACGAAAAATAAAAAACTCAATTTTTAGAAATTAAATTTAGAAATTAAAACCAAACACACTGAATAATACTAATTTTAATTTAAATTATTTATTTTAATAATCTTAACCTTATTGTTTTATAAATGTGTTACTTGAATACTTATATATAACAAATTTAGTTAAATTGTTTGTTTATTTTGATAATTTTAGTTTTATTATGCTATAAAAGTGTAATTATCATATAATAATGTTATATAATATATATTAAATTATAAGATAGTAAAATAAACACTCATTTTGATATTAAAAATAATAGTTAAATTAGAAAGAGAATTAATAATATAAAATTAAAAGTTGTTCTAATTATAAAATTTTATTTTTAATTTTATATTTATTTGGAAAATAAAAATATGTATAAATAGAACACACAAAATTTATTTAAAAGATTAAATATAAATATTTTGTGATTGGATTAAGAAAGAAAATACATAAATTAATTATATAGAGCATTGATTTTTTCTTTAATATTATTTTTGAATTATTCATACATATTATATATAGGTAGGGGTGAGCAGCGGATATATTGATCCGTCAAAACCGACCGAACCGAACCGATCCGTCGCATTTTGGACGGTTGCGTGATGACGAGCGGACGGTTGCGGATTGATTTTCTCAAATCCGCCAATTTGGCGGACGGATGGCGGATTTAAGATTTTTTGGCCGCAACCGAACCGCCAAACCGCAAGCACCCCTAGTAATTTATAAGACTTTGTATTTTTTTGATCCGTGCAATGCACATAATTAAGCACATTTTGTCTTATTTATTTATTTATTTGTATATTGAAATAATTATTTTTCAAATATCATAATAATTAAATTATAATTATATATATGAAAAATAAGTATTTCTCAAATAGATTCTATATAAAATTAGTTATTATAATTGAAATTCAGTTTGTATAGAACTTTATATATAAATGAAAAAGACATGTTAATGTGATTTTTTTTTTTAAAAAAATAAGTTTTTAGAATGTGTCACATAAAAAAGAAAAACAATTTCTGCTTATATATATATATATATATATATGATAGTATAGACAGATATAGATAGATAATAGATAATTCTATGTGGTGTTTTAGGAAGTTAGTAAAAAGTTGACTTTTTGAATTTTTTGGCAAAAAGCTGGATTCTTTTGGGTAAAAAAATTGATTTTTTTGGCTAAAAAAACTAAAAAGTCAAAAAACTAAGGTTGTGTTTGGTAGAATTTTGTAAATATGATTTGAGAGTATGAGTTGCATTTTGAGTTTGTGAGTTGTGGAATTATGATTTGAGTGTAGAAAATTTGTTTGGTTATGGTTTTTGAATAGAGTGTTGAATTGTGCTTTGAATTGTATGTGGAATTGAGTTTTGAGAGTTTGATGTGACATATGAACTAAGAAAATTTGTTTGGTGATGAGTTTTCAAAATAGTTTTCAGAACTTAATTCAACCTTTAATTGATAATAAAACACACAACTCATATATCGATATCCGTATTTTTTTATCAATAGTCATAACCAAACTATTTTTAAAATACTCAAATTAAAAAATAATTTTTTTTTCAATTTTCAATTAATTGTTTTTAAGTAATTTTTTTGAATAATTTTTTTGTCAAATAATTTTTTTTTTTTTGTAAATAACTTCTATGTCAATTATTTTGCATCAATTAATTTTTCTGTGAATTTATTTTTTGGGGCTGTGCAAACATTTTGTACAATACGTTTTTAATTTTTTTCAAAAATTTTGTTGAAGTCAACAACTTTGGAGAATACATATTGATAACAATTAACATAAATCAGTATGTTTAATATTTTTAAATACAAATCAAAACGTAAACGTTACCAAACATTTTCATTACTTTTTCATTTATTACATTTTATTAATTTAATAAAAAAACTCTTTTCTTTTTGTGCATGCATTATTGTACTTTGAATGTCACCCACCCGTGAAGTGAAGGTCATATAATTGGTGGGAGTGATATTTGTGTATGAAATGACCAATTCGCCCCTCTTGATTTGAATGGTAGGTTGTTATGTAAGAACAAAATGAAAAGGAGAATATTGTAATTTCACTTATCCTATACACCTACCCCTACTATACTGGGTGTCTGTTTCGTCACTGTGGAATAAAGGAAAAGAAAGACAATGCCAAAAACCTGCACACATGGTCAGTATACGAATGCAATTAAAAATAAGTAAGGAAAATTAAAAAAAATCAGTAACAAATGAAAAGTAAATAAGAAAAGAAAAGAAAAGAAAAGAAAAAAACCTTCTGGACCTTCTGAACCTCAGCCTTTATATAAGATCTGAGTCTGCACCATCTTCACCATCTCATTCCAACACCTTCAGCAACTCCATCACACTATAATATTAAGTACATTCAGTGTATATATTCGTTGAAGGAAGAGAGAAGAGGTTAGTATGAAGCACAGTTCATATTCTTGATAGCTTGAGAGCTAAGTTGCAGGGAGGCGAATTGTAGGCGAAGAACAGCCACCAGGGACAACCGGCCGATCATGCCGCCAGTCATCCGGTTCAGCCACCAGTTCGCCTTCTACACCCAGTTTCGCTATCTGTTTCTTTTTTCGCACCAACATTATACATTTTTCTTAACTTCACACCAACATCATACTTTTACTATACATTTTTCATACTTTTTCTTAACTTTTGCATACATTTTTCTTAACTTTTGCAGTCATTATGCCGAGAACAAAAAGAGCGAGACCGAACGTGGCGAAACCTCTAACCCTGTACAACGTGAACCACAGCAACAACATCATGACTATCCAACTGATGATTTTCTCACATATAATCATGAACAAGCCTATTCAAATTTCGCTAATCGATCAATTGTTACGAGGAGAAAGGTAAATCTACCTTCTGAATATAATCCACTGTTGCTTGGAAGATTGGATACAATGGGATGGTTGCATTTAACTAATTTACTACATAAGGTATATCCCCGTCTTGTACATTTATTTTACGTTCACTTGACATCTGCTGAGCAACAAGTGGAACCGTTCAGTCTGACCTCTTATGTGAAGGGAAAAGTAATCACACTCAACCCCCGCACTTTGGCACAAATTATTGGAGTTGAAATAGGAGATTTGCAATGCTATTTTCAAACTGAGGCTCAGTTAGCTACCATTGTTGATGATCTAACTGAGGTTTATACCGCAATTTTGGGAGTGACATTTTCAACTATCCATCAATGAAGAATACGAAGGTGAGGTTTTAAATGTTTGGCTTGTAAATTAGTGCCGATGAATCGGCTCTCACAAATTGTGGTATAAACCTCAGTTAAATCATCAACAATGGTAGCTAACTGAGTGTCAGTTTGAAAATAGCATTGCAAATCTTCTGTTTCAACTCCAATAATTTGTGCCAAAGTGTGGGGGTTGAGTGTGATTACTTTTCCCTTCACATAAAAGGTTAGACTGAACGGTTCCACTTGTTGCTCAGCAGATGTCAAGTGAACGTAAAATAAATGTACAAGATGGGGATATACCTTTTGTGGTAAATTAGTTAAGGATAACCATCCCATTGTATCTAATCTACCAAGCAACAGTGGATTATATTGGGAAGGTAGATTTACCTTTCTCCCCGTAACAATTGGTCGATTAGTGAAATTTGAATAAGCTTGTTCATGATTATATGTGAGAAAATCATCAGTTGGATAGTCATGATGTTGTTGTTGTGGTTCACGTTGTACAGGGTTGAGGTTTCGCCACGTTCGGGTCTCGCTCTTTTTGTTCTCGACATGATGACTACAAAAGTTAAGAAAAATGTATACAAAAGTTAAGAAAAAAGTATGAAAAATGTATAGTAAAAAGTATGATGTTGGTGTGAAGTTAAGAAAAATGTATGAAAAATGTATGATGTTGGTGCGAAAAAAGGAACAGATAGGCAACAGATAGCGAAACTGGGTACGGAGGGCGAACTGGTGGCTGAACCAAATGACCAACAGGATGACCGGCCGGTTGTCCCTGGTGGTTGTTGTTCGCCTGCAATTGGCCTCCCTACAACTCAGCTCTCAAGCTATCAAGAATATGAACTATGCTTCAAACTAACCTCTTCTCTCTTCTTTCAACGGATATATACACAAAATGTAATTAATATTATAGTGTGATGGAGCTGCTGAAGGTGTTGGAATGAGATGGTGAAGATGGTGTGTTGGAATGAGATAGTGAAGATGGTGCAGACTCAGATCTTATATAGAGGCTGAGGTTTAGAAGGTCTAGAAGGTTTTTTTTTTTTCTTATTTACTTTTCATTTGTTACTGATGTTATTTAATTTATTTTCCTTACTTATTTTTAATTGCATCCGTATACTGACCATGTGTGCAGGTTTTTGGCATCGTTTTTCTTTTCCTTTATTCCATAGTAAGGGTGGGCGCGGGTCGGTTGCGACCACGGAACCTCCAATCCGCCATCCGTCTGCCAGATTGGCGGATTGAAGAAAATCAATCCGCATCCGTCCGCCAATCCGGTGGATGTGGATTGAGCGGATTGACGGTTTGGCGGATGGATGCGAATCGGTTTGGTGGTTTAAAATTTTATAAATTTTTAACATAATTTAACTTGTGTACTTCCTCAAAAAAAAAAATATTATAGGCAATGACTTAAAAAAGTATTACAATCACTGCATGCCTCATCCAAAGAAAGAAAGTTTGAAACTTTAGAATATCACGATCACTGCATGCCTCATCCACATATTACAATCACAGCATGATTCATCCATATAAAGTATTACAATCTGTGATTCTTAAAATACAATAACAATTCAAACCACCAAAACCATAAACAGAGCAGTAATAGAAATTGTATGTCTCTATATTGTTATATCTACGTATGTTTTTTAAAACAAAAATCAACCAGCATATATCATATTTTCTATTTATTATTTTTAGAGCTAGATTTAAAAACCAAAAAATATAGATAAATAATACGTTTATTTTTTCAATTCAAAAAATATATTCAAGTTGAAATTTTTTTTTCAACAGAATATTTAAACTATTTTTCAATTGAAAACACAAACATAATATTTAAACAAATTGAAAATATGAAGTCTTATAAATTACTAGCGGTGCTCGCTATTTGGCAGTTCGGTTACGGCCAAAGAAATCTCAAATCCGCCATTCGTCCGCCAAATTGATGGATTGGAGAAAATCAATCCGCAACCGTTCGCTCGTCATCACGCATTCGTCCAAAATGCGGCGGATCGGTTCGGTTCGGTTGGTTTTGGCGGATCAGTATATCCGCTACTCACCCCTATTCCACAGTGATGAACAGACACCCAGGATAGTAGGGGTAGGTGTATAGGATAAGTGAAATTACAATATTATCCTTTTCATTTTGTTCTTACATAACAACCTGTCATTCAAATCAAGAGGGGCGAATTGGTAATTTCATACACAAATATCACTCCCCCCAATTATATGACATTCACTTCACGGGTGGGTGACATTCAAAGTATAATAATGTATGCACAAAAAGAAACGAGTTTTTTATTAAATTAATAAAATGTAATAAATGAAAAAGTAGTGAAAATATTTGGTAACATTTACGTTTTGATTTGTATTTAAAAATATTAAACACACTGATTTATGTTAATTGTTATCAATATGTATTCTCCAAAGTTGTTGACTTCAACAAATTTTTTGAAAAAAATTAAAAATGTATTGTACAAAATGTTTGCACAGTCCTAAAAAATGAATTCACAAAAAAATTAATTGACACAAAATAATTGACATAAGAGTTATTTACAAAAAAAAAATATTTGACAAAAAAAATTACTTAAAAACAATTAATTGAAAAAAAAAATATTTTTTAATTTGAGTATTTTAAAAATAGTTTGGTTATGACTGTTGATAAAAAATACGGATATCGATATATGAGTTGTGTGTTTGATTATAAATTAAATGCTGAATTAAGTTCTGAAAACTATTTTCAAAACTCATTACCAAACAAATTTTCTTAGTTCACATGTCACATTAAACTCTCAAAACTCAATTCCACATACAATTCAAAACACAATTCAATACTCTATTAAAAAATCATAACTAAACAAATTTTTTACACTCAAATCATAATTCCACAACTCACAAACTCAAAATACAACTCATACTCTCAAATCATATTTACAAAGTTCTACCAAACACAACTTAACTTTTTACCAATGTTGGCAAAATGCCCCTAAGTAATATAAAAACTCACTGTGTTTGGTTTGAGTTTTTTGAATTGAGTTTTTTGAAAATTGAGTTTTTTGATTTTTGTGTTTTTTTGTTTTTAGTGAATATTTTTAAAATTTTAAGCATATTTTTTACTTTTTTAGATGCACCTTACTTAGATGTTTTCAAAAAGTAAAAAATTTGTGAAAAAATATTTTAAAAAATTAATAAATACATAAAAATATAAAAATATATACTGAATTCTCGTATTTTTTTTTATATTTTTGGTATTTGGTGAATTTTTAAAAGGTTTTTTTTCAATTTTTTTTTTTACTTTTTAAGTATATTTATGTTAGGTATGTCTAAAAATTAAAAAAATTGCTTAAAATATTAAAAAAATCAGTAAAAACAAAAAAACACGAAAAATAAGAAAATAATAATTTTTAAAAAATATTTTTAAAAAATGATAACCAAGCAAAGTTCACACAAAAAAAACAAAACAAAAATCAAAAAACAAAACAAAAAAAAAAAAAAAAAAACCAAAACACAAAACAAAAAAAAAAAAAACCAAAACAGAACAGGCTGTTAGAGAAATGAATGCTTTTGACATGTTCACTATCCTATCTACTAGAACCATCTCATTTTCTTCGCAAATGATGATATTACTACTTTTCCACTATCAAAAGTAGTACTTTCCCTATAATTCTGTTTGTAAAAGAAATAATAATAATAATTAGCCCTAGGTCAATAATCAAATTCACCTATTCCAATCGAGAAAAAATCAACTGATTGGGCTGCCAAAAAGGGTGGATGGAAAGGTCATGATTGATGCTTTTTCCTTTTTAAAAAGATGCTATATATAAATAAATTATATTTTATATGACTTTCTTACTACCTGCATTAACTAACATGGATCTTACTATATTTTATGTCATTATAAAAACAGTAAAAGAAGGGACCATTACATAACAATCCTCCTCCCTTAAGAGCCCCAATTGGGCAGGATCAATGTGATGAAGGTTTTGTTCAAAAAAGAAAAATAAAATTTTAGGTCTGGAATATATACAATAGTAAAAAAAATTAGAAGAAAAATCATACATTAACATCAGGAGCACAAGGTAACCGTGGTGCATCATGAGGGAGGTATCAGTAATGTCAAAAGGAGAAGCACATGCTAATGGAAGTATGTGAGCTGTAAAGCCTTGATGGAAGGGATGGAATATTAGTTTTCTCACTGATTGTTGCTTGCTACAGACACACCCACATCTCTCTCTCTCTCTCATTGTCATTGGTAGTTGAACTCCAATTTGTCTGTACTACAAGAGGGTGTTTGTCTGTAACAATACCTCTAACTGAATACAGTCACTTGGTTTCTGTGTAATCTTTTTCTTGGAGAACAGAATGCGCCATTAGCAGTCTGAAGAGCGAACAAAGTGCAGACAATTAAGGAAGGACCAGAGGCTCTTCATTTTTCAATCAAAAGTGAAGCCAAATGTGAGACAAAAACAAAAGAGAATGTGTAAATTCATTGAGGATATCTGAAAGCTCACCAAGCATATATATACTTTGGAGCGGGTCTAAAAGAGGATTCTTAATTAGAAATACAGAAAATTGTAGCATCTTAATGCAATCACCTGCAAAATAAAAATTATCTGTTCAAACTGCTTCCAAAAAATTATTTAAAGAAACCCCACATAGGGTGGGCAGAACAGAGATAGCAGTGTGCACCTACCTGTACAAGACAAAGAAGATGACAAAATGATAAAGACGTCATCGCTGGAGAATCTCAGCTCATCACATAGGATGGGCAGTCTTGTGCATTTCTACTATACATTTAATTGAAGGAAATCAATGCAACTAACAGGCAAGCACAAAGAATCTCTGTAATCTGAACTGTAGCTAGTCAATAAGTTGCCACGAAGAATGCAATAGGGGAAATAGATCTTTCCCACAAGATTGATAGCGTAGAAATTTCTACTTTCTGTTTGAAATTGAGATGAAATATGAAAATATGTTTACAGAATTGATTACATATTGTAAAATCAGTACCCCATTTTTTATTTTTTATTTTTTTACTTCAGAAAAAATTTCATAAGAAAAAAAGTTTCATTGATGATCAAAATCAAGAAAATTTAGTCTCTTTGAATCAATAGAAAGGTTTGTCAAGTTAAACAGAATCAATATGTTTTGTTGAGTTCATATGCAAGCATTGAAAAATTGGGTTAATTCAAAGTTCTTTTTTTCAAAAAAAAAAAGAAAAAATAACTGAAGGACACAAGGATATTGTCTTTTTTGCTTCCATAAAAATAATTTCCTCACTAGAACCTTTTTAAAACCATGTCTAACACCAAATTCTCTTCAAGTTATGTATAACATAGAAATAGTGATGGCAAGGCAAAGGAAAAGATTGAAGAGCATTCTACAATTCATTAGCTTCGCATAATGAACAAAGGAGAAAAGGATTAACATCTCACGGACAAATGAACCCTTTGGCTACATAAGTAGATAAACAAATTCAAGAACATAAAAAATCAATTGAAAGAAAACCATAAGAAGTCTACATCAGTGTGATTTGCAAGCAATGAAAGCTTACATGCTTGAGCTTCGCTTAATCAAATCAGCAATAAACCTTAAATCAATCTCTGAAGAAAGTTTCTTCTTCTTCTTCTTCTTCTTCTTCTTTCTTCTTTCTTCACAATGAACTAGCTATAATCAGCTGCCCCAGCAGTAAAACTTAACTGAGAAATCATGTTATTATTATCCCCAACTGACTGGTGTCGCTTCAAGCGAAAGTCACTCCCATGCCGACCTCTCCCTCTACCAACAAACCTTCCACTTCCAATTCTAAAACTAGAGCCTCCTCCATTTGCAGATTTCAATTTAGGATCATAATAACCATCGACTCCACCCTGAAATTCAGACTCCCCATCAGTTCCAGCCATGAGGTCCATCAAATTATTCCTGAAACCCAAATCAGAGTACACTCTCCGCGAATTCCTCGACGGCCTAGCACACTTAGCATCCAAATTACTCTCTTCTACAACACCCTTGGGCCTCAAATTCAACTGGGATTCAACTGGGCGTCCCATTGTCTCAACCATCAAGCATGGATTACTAAAACCGTTCCATGAATGAAGAGGAACCAATTCACTCAACCTAGTGAGACTCTCAACAACCTCCTTCATGGAGGGCCTCCTCTCCCTACAAGACCTCACACACTTGGCTGCAATGACAGCCAATTGCTTCCTCACAAGAGGGTCCTTGGGAGGCTCAATCCTGGGATCATATACAGCCAAAAGCTTCCCTCCCCTTATCAATGGAACAGCCCAATCCACAATGGAAGGTGGAGAATGGCCAACATCAATGGCCTTCCTGCCACTTAGAATCTCCAACAATAATATACCAAAGCTAAAAACATCAATTTTGGTACTCAAATTATCAGGAGTGACATAACATGGATCAAGATACCCAATTGTACCTGCGGGCGGAGTAGAGAGGAGTCGTCGATGATAATTATCGACATGGCAGCGAAAAGCCAAGCCGAAATCGCCCAAGCGGGCATTGAAGTGGCGATCGATCAAGACATTGGCGGACTTGATGTCGCGGTGGATGACAGGAGGGATGGAAGAATGGAGGGTGTGGATGGCGTTAGCAGTCTGAAGAGCGAGGCGAATTCTACGGCCCCAATTGGGAGGAGGGCGAGGAGAAGTGGAATGGAGGAGGTCGTAGAGAGTGCCGTTACTCATGAACTCGACGACCAAGAGGCGGTGGCGGTGGGAGGGGTCGCTTGTGAAACCCAACAAATTGACGAGGGATGGGCTGTGGAGTTGGGAGAGGATGTCGATTTCGTTGTCGGCTTCGGTGGGAATGGGATTGTGGGGATTGTGGGGAATGGGTTTTTTGACGGCGACGACAAGGCCGGAGGGGAGGAGGGCCTTGTAGACGAGGCCGTGGCTGCCTCGGCCGAGAAGTTTGTGGGAGGAGAAGCCATTGGTGGCGGATTCGAGGTCGCTGTACTCGAAGTGTTGGAGGATTTTGAATGGCAGGTTTTCTTCTTCTTCACTGTTGTATTGGGTTTTCTTCTTCTTTTTGTTGTTCTTGTTGGAGATGGAGTTGGAGGAGGAGGGTGGTGGTGGTGGTGGTGGTGATGGGGATTGGAGATTGGAGACTGAGATTGCTGATTCAGCTTTACAAGTTAGATAGCCCAACATGGCATCAACAAAGAAAGAATGAAAGAAAGAAAGAAAGAATTCAAGTGTGGATTGGATCGGATTGATGTAAATGAGTGATATATATATATATATATATATTCTATGACAATAGATAGATAGATAGATATATTGATAGAGATATGAACACTAAAAAGTGGAGGAGGAGCTGTTGTATATGTTGTGTTGTAAGCTTGGCATGTTGCTTTGCTGCTTGATGCCTGCTGCCTGGGTTGTCGATTCTCTTGGTGTGTGTGTGGGGTGTCTGTTCAATCAGGCTCCGTTTCGATGGCTGAAGTAAGCAATAATAAATTTGTCGTTTTTTCCACGTGCAAGGATCGTCTAAAGTGATTTTTTCCTAAAATTTCCTAGAGTGTTACATTGTGTGGTTGAGATTTACTGGCAAGTCACATCACATCAGAAAAATTGATGTGACTTGCCAGTAAATCTCTTTTTTTTTTGTTGCTAAAATTCATATAAAGATAAAATAGGTTATGCCTCATTTGGAAACATACTGGGTTCGTTTGGTTTGTATTTCTGAAAAAATTTTAAGAAATTTTCTCTACAAATAAGTTTTTAAAAGTAATCAAACCAAACAAATTTCTCAAAACTTGTAAACTAAACAAGTTTTCCAAACAAATCTCTCTCTCACACACATCAAATCAATTACTTTTTCCAAAACTCTCTCTCAAAATAATTTTTCAAAAATTCATATAAAGATAAAATAGGTTATGCCTCGTTTGGAAATATACTATTTTAATAATTTTTTAGTTTTTTAACTAAAATATAATAAAAAAAACTAGCATATTTTTATTTTTTACGAAAAGGTATGCAAAATAGTAGAGAGAAAATAGAATTTGACTTTTTGGTATAGGTTATAAGTTTTTTGATTTTTTTAGTAATTTTTTGACTTTTAGGCTAAAACACTCACATGCCAAACGAGGCCGACAAAATGTCTCATTAAATTCATAATCATTTCATCTTTTCACTTATAAACATTACATTCAATTACAAAAAAAAATCTAACTATTTTTTCAAATACAAAAATTTTAACTTACTAAAATAGCATACAAAATAACAACTTTCCAAACACCCATATTATATATATACTAAGGGGACTTGTGTTTAAAATATAAATTTTAATTTTGAATTTATAATATACTTTTTTATTGTTTAAGTAATGAAAGTGTTTTTTGGTAAGTAAATAGTTTTAAATTCAAATCTTGTATCCCTCTTTTAACTATTTTTTTTTTATTCATTTTTTGGATTAAGAAATTAACACTTGGCATAAGAAAAGAATGTCACTAGACAAAAGGAGAGAAGAAAATTTATGGATACCAAGTGAGATGTTCACTTTTAATAATATACTAGGATGGAAATTTATGAACACCAAATGAAGTGTTCGCTTTTAATAATATACCAGGGATGTAAGCCCACCTGATGGATGTGCTATTAACTCTATAAAATATAAATTTTGATTTTGAATTAGAAATATATATAGTGTTTGTTGATCAAGTAATAAGGGTATTATTTTTCAAACCCAAGACCTTAGGTTCAAATATTGTGCACTTCATTTTGTAATTTTTTTTTTTTTTTTCCTTCTTTGATATAAAAAAATCCACTTAGCAAAAGAAGAGAGTAGGCTTCAAGAGACTAAATGAATTGTTCGCATATATAATAGTATATATATATAATATTAGCGGGTGACACACTGTACATGTAATAATAAAAACAAATAATAAAAATTTTAATATCATAATATGTATTTTGCTTAAACAATAAGTATGTTCTTAATGAAATTTAAGGTCTTAGGTTCAAAACTTCCTTACGCTCTGTATAATAATTTTTATTTTTTATTTTAACAGATATAAAGTTGCTACGTGGCATGAGGAGAAGAAGGGTTCACCAAACCAATTCAGGCCTTCACTTAATAATAGTATAGATAAAAAATTTAATATCATAATATGTATGTTGCTTAAGAGATAAATATGTTCTTAATGAAACCTAAGGTCTTGAGTTCAAAACTTACTTATGTTTATTTTTATTTTAGCATATATAAAGTTGCCACATGGCATGTCATAATATGTATATTCTTAATGAAACCTAAGGTCTTGAGTTCAAAACTTACTTACGCTGTTTATAATAATTTTTTTATTTTATTTTAGCATATATAAAGTTGCCACATGATATGAGAAGAAGAAGGTTTCATTAAACCAATTTAAGCCTTCACTTAATAATAGTATAAAAGATAGATAGATAGATATTAGGGGTGTGAGACCACTAGATAAATGTACTTAAAATAGAAATTTTAATTGTAAATTGAAAATGTATCTTCTATATTATTTAAGTAGTGAAAATATTCTTTATTAAGTCAACAATGGTCATAGGTCCCTTGACAAAAAAAGGAAAAAAAGATTTATGAACCTAAGTGAGTTGTTCATTTTTAATAATAATATAAATAATAGTATAGATTTATATTTATAGAGAAATTTCATTACATTTGAACCGCCAACCACCCAACATTCTCAATCTTTACCAACACTCTCTCCCCACTACACCACTACAACATCACATGAATATTAATGCAACATATATTATTTATATACTATATTGACCGGTATTAATACAAAACTATATATATAAATAATTATTGGGTTTTTTTTTTTAAGGTCCTTGATATTATGATTTTATAGCATAAAGGACATCAAATATTTTTATGATGTCTAAGGTCCATCAACTATATTTTCATAATGTCTAAGGTCCCTCAACCTTGATTTAGAGAAATTTCAGTCCAGAGAAAATTGGTCCAGAGAAATTTCAGTCCAGAGAAAATTGATGCAGAGAAATTTCAGTCTAGAGAAATTTCAGTCCAAATTTCTCTGGAAAATCTAATTATTCTCAGAAAATTTTCAGATCTGCTGCTACTTTTAGCATGCAAAATGCCCATGATTTTGTTTGGTATTGATTAGTACTCTTTCTCTCTTGCAGTTTTTCCCCCTTGTCTTAAGTTTATGTCCAGAGAAAATTGGTTCAGAAAAAATTAGTCCAAGAGAAAATTCATATCACAGAGAAATTTGGTTCAGAAAAATTCTTAGAATTTCTCTGGACTTTCCAGAGAAATTTTAAAAATTTCTCTGATAGGCAAACTAAATTTGCTTTCAGTATTCTATCTCTGGGTAGGAGTACTAAATGTCTCACAGTCTAACATATAGATATCCTCTACTATATATATTGGGTTCAATGTATAATATATTCAAGATCATTCAAATAAAAATCAACATTTCCTCCAAACAATGCAATTCAAAGATACACATGAGCCTAGATGAAACTTGGCATTTTCATCAACTGGAAGCATCAATGTCAAAGCTGACAACATTTCCTCCAAAACTGCAATGTTTTTATGAAAAGACCTTTCAGAGAAAGCCTCAAACATGGCAGATAGAACACAACCCGTACCATTTTAATATATATATATAGAGGTTGCTTTGTTGCTTATTCACTCAATGAAATGATCTTCTCTCTCTGCTTTGAACTGAAATTTATCTGGATTGATCAAGAAAAATTTTCTGGTTTGAACTGAAATTTCTCTGGGTTGGTCCAGAGAAATTCTCTGGTTTAAACTGAATTTTCTCTGGATTGGTCCAGAGAAATTCTATGGTTTGAACTGAAATTTCTCTGGATTGATCCAGAGAAATTCTCTGATTTGGATTGAACTATTCCTCAAGTGTTGTCCAGAGAAATTTCTGTGAATTTTCTCTGGTTTGGAAATCATGTTTTTTGAATCTTTGGTATCATGTTTTATTTTTTCTTTTTAAACATCCAAAGATGAACTTTGAGCTCACTTCATTTCTTGATGGTGACATTGAGATAGCAGTTCAGGTACATGTGGATCTTAATTTTTATCATGTTGTGGGTACACGTGTGTATGGATGTTGACTGTGTGTCTGTGTGTGTGTAATGCAAAATAGAAATCTGAAAGTTGTGATGTTCTTTCAGTCTTGCGCTGCTCTGGAACAACAGGAACTACTGGAAGAACTTGCTGAATCTGTAGGCACACCAGCTAGCTGATTTCGTGGAACTCTGGATGTTTTGTTATTCAGCTTTGTTCTTCAGCTTCTGTTTTGTGCTTGAAGAAGAAGAAGTTGGGTCTCTTGATATAGAGAGAGATAGTAGGCACCTCATGGAAAAACCTCGCATAAGGATACGAAACTCCAACATTATTTATCAGAACTCCAACGTCCAGACCTTCAATGGTTTCACGAATCCGATTAACCCCTTCGTTCAAATCTCCAGAGAAATCAACAACCACAGTCTTGATTTGGATTTTCCCGAATTTGGCTCCGATCGACTGCGAAACCTCCTTGAGTTTCTCGGGATTTCGAGCAACGAGAATCAAATTCAGACCTTTATGTTCCTGACTTGGTTATCCTCTCTGGCTATGAGAGTGCAGGTGTAATATAAGGGTACGGGGGTAAGGGACCTTAGACTACAAAAGAACATATTGTGGACCTAATCCATTACTAAAAGTTGGATAGGGACCTTAGACCGATTTTCCCTTATAATTAATACTACAATAAATCATAATAAAAAATTATAAAAATTATAATTAGAACATATGATGCACATCTTTTTTGGACTGTGCTATAAAATTCTCCTATTTAGAAAAGCAATTTTGAATGCAGCTAATAAGCAATAATCTTCATTTTATTTTTTAACGAATTGCGCTGATTTTCCTTAAAATTTGTGACAACTATATGGAGTTTTCCTCTAGTACCTAAAATTACACTTACCTTAATGGACCACTCTTTTATTATCTTACTATTAAACAATTAATAGAAAATTATGATGTCAGCATATTTAACATTTAAATATCAAAATTACCCTCAGAGGCATAGCCCTGTCTTTTTAACCCCTTCCCTTTTTTATTTTTGGAGTAAATTATCCATACCTCCGGTGAGGGTTGAAAAAACATACAATTAGCTTCACTTTTGACATAATTAAACTAATCTGCTTTAAATATTTACTAAACGTAACAGTTAACTAGGCTCTTTTTTGTTAGAAATATATATAAAACAATAATGTTGTCATCACTATTCTATTCAAATGTATCTATCTATTTTTGTTTATTTCAATATTTAACCATCATCTACATTAGTTTAGATCTTTTTTTTTTTAATATAATTTTATTCTTAGCATAAATTATACATGTTAGAAAAGTAATTGGTTCTTTGATAAATATAATAACATCTTTAATATTTAATCTATGAACACTACGAGTCAAATTAAA